AATAACACTATTGATTCATCAATCAATGAAACTTGTATCATGAATTAATCAGTTTATATGAAACGTTATCATTGATATATATATATATATATATATATATATATATATATATATATATATATATATATATATTACATTAAATCTCATTTAAAAAGCATAAACAATATAAAAACAAGTTTCTTTTAACTATTAACAATCATTTCTTCATAATGAAAGAAAACGTATTACAAAGAAAATTATGATTTGTTATTAATGTATAAGACCGCTGCTCCCAGTGCACACTAACTAATATACCTAAATAAATATATACACAATACAACTGACTCAAATATTATAATCTAATCTAATAAAATATACCTGAGCACAATATAATTTTAAAGAATTAAAAATTATAAATGAATTAGTAAAGGCAATCTTAAAGTTTAAATAATACACCACCTATGCATAATGAATATATTTCTCTAATAATACTCAATATCATTGAAAAGAAATTTTAAACTATTACAAGTCAATCATAATGTATAGATAATGATGAATTAATTTTCTAATGAATACTAATACTAATATGAATAATATATTCTAAGGACATGGTAATCAATGTGCATTTCCATTGTTAATGAGTTTTTCATTACTGTCTTAATAATATTTTTAAATATCTATTATTTCAATTTGATGATTACATTGTTCAAGAAATAAATCACAATGAAATAATGATTGGATATACATGTATTTCTTTTAAATTCTTGTGAGTAATAATCTTTAAAAATTATCGAATATGATTAAAGTACTGGTAATAAATCATGGATATCATTAAGCCACTGTTCATATATGATGAAATCAAAAATTGTGTAGGGTTGCTAGCAAGAAGATTTATAGCGGAAAAGTCTATTCTAATGAATCAACTGAAGTAGTTGAGATATGTGTTACATCAAATCAAATCAAAACACGAATCAACTCATAATACATCCCCCAAATGCTTTGGCACATCCCAGAGTCGGGAGTTAGCTCTCCCTTTCTGAATGCGAATATAGCCAACGATAGAAAAGTCTTACTCCACTGCCTTCTCGTGCAGCACCGCTGGTGGTTACGAACTTGAAGGGACGTAAGATGAGTATCTGTCAATTTGACCGGGTTGGTGGGAACGAAGCACCCACCCCAGAGATTCAGAAAACCTTGATTCCAAACCAATAGTGTACATGGGTTCCAGGATCCTGATGAGGAAAATGGCGTATGAACCTATTGACCACCAGATGCTACGGAACTGCAATTCCTGACGTTGCTCCATTTCCTTGTGGATTAGACCTTTGAGTTAAAGGCTCAGGGTGTGGTCTTTTGAGAAAATAACCAGTTTCGGTTTGAGTACATGGGCAATATCGAAGCCGACTCACAAATTCAATAATTTGTGTGGGACATACATAATTTGGTGTCACATGTATTAAACTTTATGTGTTAAAATAAATAAAAGCATATAATGTTGGGTGATAATTATTTCAATTGACAGTGGATCTTCTTATTTAACTGTCAAATCACTTTGCCTCCTCACCATCCATTTAAATTGTGCAAGCAGTTGGATCAATATACATTCGTGGTGTGTCCTACATTGATAATAACCGGCTTAATTGAAACTGACAAAAAGAGCGAATTCGAGAAAACTAAAACACGCACATTTCTCTTATCAGTAGTAAAATTGAATCTTATTCCTAGTAGTGTGATAATCTCAGATAAATAAAACTACAGTCTTAATAATATTAGACAAGATGATATTATTTACTTAATTTCTAAGATTTATTAACTATAATTTATACATAGATGAATAAAGTTGACTTTGGTAAAACTTAGTTATCACGAGCCATAAACAATGAATAATAAAAGATTTCACTACTTAAGAAACGTTGAAATGTGAATAATTTAAAAGATAGATGTTAAATAAAGGAACGCATATTAAATCGAAGCGTAAAGCATTGTACACGGTAAATGAGTTTTTTCAATAGCGGATTATACACTATCATGTATTTCATTATACAAAGTCGATATGAAGAGTCATAGTAATTAATTATATAATGAAAAAAAACAGCTTCTTTATTTGATTAGCGTTTGTTAAAAGAGTAACATTTTTATGTTTCTAGAGTTTCTCGAAGATATATCACTTTTCTAAGTTGTTGGTTAACTTGAATGAAATGACGACTTGATATTTACGATATTCCTAGTCTTTAAGCATCCGAAACAACCAGGGAGTTGGTAATATTCATCAAACAAATGACAATTAGCTAATCAAAGTCAATGAGTTACAATTTGTATAAAACAAATAATATTTATAGATGAGTGGTTCAGAGCAGGTATCTCTTGTACAGAAATATCTCTCATGTTATCTAAGCAAGTGATGAATGTGAAGCTTTAAAGCAATCAATACCACAGTTGGACTTAAAGAAGCGACCTGCATTAAGTCATGAATCGTCAGAAATAAAAATCTCTACTCAACTGGATATTGCCAATAATTATAATAATTTTATTATTACTAATAAGCTTAAATTAGATTCACAATAAATTTTAGTTTTAATAACCAAGAAGTAGTATGATATCTGAAACTCTACTGTGATAGTGCAATGACAGATACATTTCAACATGGAGTATTATTTACCTATTGAGTCAAAGGAAGGTTGGATGCACTGGATAACGCAACTACTGAGAATTGGAAACCATGTGGATAAGCCTATTCCATTATAGCCTTATTACAACTGCTTTGGAATAATAACTGTCCATATTTTATCTCGATTTAAAAATAACAATATCAGGAAACCGAAGATAAAAATATACGAAGATATTAGCGAGAATCAGATTTCAGATTATAATTCCTTTTGAAAATAGAAACTCATTTATAAATAAATCTCTGGTCAGTTAACTATGAGCTCACAAAAAAATACACTATTTTCACATCACTTTAAAATTGGAATTATCGAAAAAATTCCAAACACTAAGAAGATTAGGTCAAATATAATTTTTATATGTTGAAGAGATTTTTTTTTTTCCTAATTGGATCAACTTAGATTTGTTCTTAGCAGAGATGAATAGTGTGGCTAGTAATGATATCCAACTCAGCTAATAAAGATGATAACTTAAAGCCAGTCCGCACAAGATGCACAAATGTCAAACAGATTGATCAATTACAATTTTAAACAACAATGAAAAGGTTTAAACAGCTAAAACAAATGAATTAAATTCATTCTGTACATCAACTAAGAATAGAATAGAATTCGAATAATTCATTATTTATTCAGCTACTCAATGAAAACATAATAACAAACCTACTTTTGCATTGGTATATATATATATATATTTTTTTTTTGACAATAATAATAATAATAATTAAACAATGAAAAACACATGTATAATATGTACGTAGATGTAGAACGCACATACATACATACATGCGCATACTCCTACTTTTCTATTCATAACGAAAACATACACAAATTAAAATTAAAAAAAAAAGAAAAGAAACAGTAAGTAGTAAGTGATCATTAGGTGGATTGGAAAAAAAAAGATTAAACAAAAATGTGAATATAACAACATTATGAATATATATATATATATATTCCGATTGAAAATGAAATTTAAGCATTATTACTATCATTTTTGTAGAGATTTCTTATGTCATAGTTAATCGGTGAACAATTCAACAACACTGATAATAATTAAACAATAATAATATGAAAGGTGACAATCAATTAAAAATAATGTTATTAGGTGTATGTATGAGTGCTAGAAAGAGAGACTATAATTATGCGTGTGCAGTGAAAGAAAACTAACAGTCATCACTGATAAGCAAGTAGCAGTTAAAGGAAGAATTTTAAAACCCAAAAATTACAAATCAGTTAGATAAATCAATCACGCAACAACGAAATCAAAACAATATTCATAATGTTTACAGCATTCTGCATTCAAAGATCGTTTTTTTTTTTGATATCTTAATAAAACCAGTTGTTTGAATAATTTGTTTTTGCCCGAAAAAATAACAATGCTATTAAAGCAAACATCATGAGGAAAAGAAGAATAATCAAGGAAATAAACAAACAGACTTTTTAGAAATTTTTTTTTTATTTAACTGTCAAAACGTATTGGTAGACACACACACACACACACATACACACATATATATTTACAAATGAAAATAAATTTTTGTAGTGGTTGATTTGGAAGAAGCAGAATATTATTAGTTGTGATTGCATAGGGATCACATAATGGAAAATAATTGTGCTTTTTCGGAACGAAGTAAAACAAAGCAAATAAATAAATGAAGGGAAAACAACAATTTTATGCCACACAAAACAACAAACATTTATTCAGCATACATACACACATACACTAATAAACATGAACAATTCTGATGCATTTAGAATTATCATCATGCTCAAAGAACACATGTCAAAAATTGTGTATACTTCAAGAGAACCGTTTGAATATACATTCCATTGAAATGAGTCACATCATTCACATAAAATATGCACACATTGTAAGATTGTTTTTGAGTAATTGATTAATATGAAAGAGAAGAAGTATAATATGATTCACAAGTGTTCTTATTCTGATCATCAATCAGCTACAACAATGGAATGCCAATATTGCCTCTTTCCAATATTCTTCTCAAAACAATCACAATATCAACATGAGAATGGAGTAAAGTAAGAGATTAAATTATAAAAAAAAAGAGGAAAGATCAAGTGTTGTGTTTAACAAAATCGAATATTTGAATTGACCTATTCAAATTTAATAAAAGTTTTATTACAAAAGAAAAGAGACTATCAATGTTACCCATCAAAATAAAATGAAAATATTCTAACATTGGTAATAGTAGTAGTAGTAGTATAAACAATAATAATAATAGTAGTATGAATTATATATAGCCATCATTAAAGAATGACAATTACACTAACATGAACACATTGTAAAGATTCTCTTTAATTTTCCTATATATATGTATATATATATATATATATATATATATATATATATATATATATATATACTACTAGCAAAGTTTCAAGAATTTCAGTTCATCATAATAAAAAAAAGGAAGAAGAAGAAGAAGAGAAAATCAATTATATGAATTATTTTAATAATAATATAATACATGAGAAAGCAAAATTATTATGATTATTGTCAATGGTTATTTGTTAGATGATTGATTTGATAAGATAAATAATATTATCATTAATTACAAGTTAATAGAGAAAACTGCACATACATAAACACATGTATACAGTGATTATTCATTGTATGTAAACTTTATAAAAAGTTGACTAATTTAAAGAAACAATACTTTTAATAGAAGTGTGATTTTTATAGTTTTAAAATCATAATGGAAATATTAAACCACAACAACAACAACAACAACAACAACTACAACATAAAAAAAAATCAATAGCAGCAATAACTCACCCCATGCACACATCAATAAACACATTCATCATGACTGATTGTTATAAAACAAATATCTAGTGTTAGAGCATTAATGATAATAATACATACTATTCATAACAAATGACTAATAATAATTTTTGATGAAAAGGGTCAGGGGATGGGGATGGGGAAAAAGAAGCAGAAGTAAAGGCAAAAGTGCATAAGAGAAGTTAATAGACAACTCTTCATGCATACATAACACAGTTAAAATAAAAAAAAAAGGATTAGGAGAAAAAAAGAAAAACAAAACAAAGTTCACTATGATTAAGTAAAAGTCAAAGCAAAGAGAATGATACAAGTAAATTAGTGAACAAAACAAAGAAAAAAAGGAGAACAAAAAGCAACGACAAAAAACAATAATGAAAACATGAAGTAATATTATCAAAATTATTATTATAATGAGTAGTAGTAGCTGTTAATGAGTGTGTGATTCACAGTCAGTATTAAATGTCATTGTCAATTTAATTATTATCATTCACAATACCGATTATTATTATTATTAATATTACTTTTGTTAACAGTTTAAAATTCACTAAATTCTTTTGCACATTTCTCTGTTGTAGCAATACGTAATGGTTCTTCTTCATAATCGTCAAAATTACTTGCATCTCCAGCGCCTGAACATTTCGGTGTGAATGGTGCTTCAATCTAAACAATTAGTATAAATTATAAAACAAGATTAAAATTAATGGAAATAAATGATAACTAACTGGTAGAGACTACAGAACAACACATAATTCGTAGAATATGAGCTTTTCAAATAAATGTAACTGTATTCCAATGTCAATGTTGTTGATGAAAATTGAACTCAGTAATTTATACACTGACAGTCCGACACACTATCCACTGAACTACTAATTCCAAACGATTATTAGTTGATGTAATGTGTATTAAAATTTAGTTTTGTTAAGATTTGTGCTTTACTGCTATTGATGCTGATTAAACGAAAATCTCAATGATATCTGTCCATATTACACAAATCGAAAGAGGTAACATAAACTGTACTCTTTAATACCAATAAAAGTGAATCTGAGTCATGATGCTATATGACATTAGCAAACACCAGTGCATAGATTTCAATAAAAATTAACAACCAGTCAACACGCTTCAATAGGAAACGTTAATAATGTTATGAAATGTTCGAAATTCCCCTATTCCATAAGTCAATCTACACTAAGAAAAAGATTATATAATCTCAGTAATTATAATAAGATCATCTAATGTAGTAAGTATCTTAATTGTACAAAATCAGTAGTGCATTAAATAAATTATGCTTAAACTCTTCGGCTGAAACACTGGGTAATGGTATAATTTAATCCCAAAACGGGATGTTTTTATTCTCAACATAACATGTAAGACGTGCTAATCTACTCCAACAAGCAAGAATATTAGGTAGATGAGAATCTTGGCTGTAACTATTTGCATTTTTCGTCTCTCAATGTCAGATAATCAGTATTTTTAAGCGTATGTTTATTCTGAGTGAATCATCTCGACAGTACCAATTAGTCACAATATTGAAATGAACGTATCCCAAACGAATGAGCTGTAAATAAGACAGAATGAGTATCCTGAATTCCTCTGCTAATCATTAACTGAGTACGCAGAATCGGTGCCTATTTTTCACAATACCTATTATGAATCAAACAGTCCACAAATGTCGACTCAGTAGCCTAAAGCTTAAGCGTTTGCGAGAGATCAAAGGTTCTGGGTTCGACTGTTAAGTATGGGAGTTGTGGATGAGCACTGCTGATGAGTCCCATACTTGGACAAAACGGCCATCTAGTGCTTCTAGGTTTCTAATGGCCTAACAATAATCAATTCAAAACTAAATTACTTTATTGAAAACTTCGCGACATCATGTTGTCACATCACATTATCTATCTACATTTACAGCATTTATAAATTCGTCGATTTCTATCATACGTTTGAAACTTAAGTATTATAGGTTGTAGGTATCTGATGAAAAATCTAGCGAAATAAACTGAATTCATATTATACTGTATGATTGTTTGTTTTTGCTGTCTTCTATATAATGAAGAGAGAACTATGAGTAAAAAATGCACAAATGTCTAAAAGCTAGACAAGAAAAAAACAAATCGAATGATATAAGTTGACGATAAATGAATTAATTAAAAAAATTTAAGAAATATCATAGATATTAATGAACTATCAATTTACTGTTAAAAAAAACAAAAAAAAAACACAAAAAACCAAACGATGACAGTAAAAGCCTAATTGATATGACAGATGATAAATAACTAAATTTTATTTCTCAATTTTATCAATTTATCAAAAACACCTTATAAAAAATTATACGATCTCGGAATCGAGTCAATGCAATCGTACAATTTCAATTCCACTGATCACAACTATGTCAATGCATTTTAACTCTGTCAGTTATAAAATCTCACAATAAATTCAAGAATATCAAATCGCAATAAAACATCACCGTGTTAGTTTAGTTAAATACTTTGTATTACCCTAGTTACTCACTCAATCAATTAGCCATTCAATGTCATTATATCTAGTGAAATCAATCTGATTACCATTTTTAATTGTCAAGTCGATTAGATCATATGTAATGTGAATTTATCATAGACAAAAATGTAATACATTACTGCATTACATTACACAAAACACTAAAAACCAACAAACAAGGCTTACATCACGTTTAAAAATAGAAAACCAATCAGTTGTTGCAAACCATTTATGTGTTTTGATATCATTAACACCATTTTTCAAATTTCCAAAACGTTTTGTTAAATCAACTTGTAACAGATTTCTTAGTAAATCTTTTAAATCTGAACTAAAATGTGATGGGAAACGAACCTGTTATGAGTAAATAGAGAAAAAAAATGAAACAAGTGAGTTAGACGAGTGAATCAACAATATATATATATATATATATATATATATATATATATATATATATATACTTATTTACAATTTACTATGTAGAATAGCTTCAAGAAAAAAGAAACAATATATTGTACGTATAGATTTTATACAATAGTACTTTACAAAAACTGACTAGAAAAATGTGATGTTACAGATAATAAGGAAAATGGTTTAATTATAGAGCTGAGTGCCTAATTCATGTAGAAGTGAGCATTTTCCATTATCCCACAAGTTTAATATCAACTTGTTCCGATGTCTTGTTCTGTGTTTGATTGTTTGACTTCGTAGACTCTATCATCTTCATTTGTTTTTGTATGCATAATAACTGTATTTGTCAGTGGATGTTTAGTCTTTTGACTAACTGAAGTCTTTCTTTCTTAGAATTTGAGAGATTGGATCCATGTCGATATATTCGTTAATTACAAATTTGTCTGAATGTTATCCTTCTAGAAATTATCTGACATTCTTAGAGTTTGGTCGATTGAGAATTTCATTGTTTTTCTAATCGAGTTCGTAAACATAGCTGCTCTGATGTTATCTGGTGAAATTAATGAAGGCAGAGAGGATGCAACACTTTCCAAACCATCCATTAACCAGAGATTCAAAAATTCTCCAGAATACGACAAAGTATGGAACAAGAAAATTTATATGATAATTAAATTGATGAGAAATGAATTAGCTAAGAAATGAGAAACAAATCAATTAAGAAAAATATATTCAGGGTAAAAATATAACTCACTTTTCCTGATACAATACGTTCATAGATTTGAATTGGTTGATCAGCAAAGAACGGTGGATAACCAGCTGCCATTTCATAGACTAATACACCAAGAGCCCACCAATCGACAGCTTTGTTGTAACCCTAAATGAAAATACAAATTATTTACGGAAAAAAAATAAAATTATTTATAACAAAATTAGAATATCAATCAAATACATTTTTAGACGTAATAAATGTTTGTAGTTACATCTTTCACAAAGTAAATTTTTTCAATTCAAACTATACAACAACTACAGAAGGGAACGGCCTGATCAAAACTCCCGAGTGCTGTTAGTACAAACATGCATTAGATGCCATAAATTTTTAAGGCTTTACATTTATTCTCATTCATTTATAGTGTGCCAATCATGTGGTATTTGTGCTTCCATGAAATCTTTAAGAATTGTTATGAGAAACATTAGAAGTACAACAACAGTCATTACCATAGTTCTTCCGGCTTGCTTTATCCTTGAGAGAAATGAAAGGCGATTTATGTAGAATGCTGATATCTAATATATTCACTGATAAAAAGAAAAATCATAGGGAAAAAGAAACATTGATAGGATTTACGCATGAATGTGGATCAACCGCCCGAACTAATCTGTTCAATTGTTGGTGGATCGACATTGATTGGGAGGTCCGTGGATGCTTCTTCGATACTGGGTGTTTCGTTGCGGTTTGTTGATTCAGGAGTTACTTAAAGTGCTCTACCCATCTGTTCAACTGTTCTTCAATATTGCTGATTACTTTGACTTCCTTGCTTTTCACTGGTTGTTCTGGTTTACAATAGATTCCAGCACGCTTCTTTGTCATATCGTACAAGTGTCTCATTTTTCCCATGCAGCCTTTTCCTCGATCATCGCTAGATCTGCCTCGCACTTACGTTTGCCGGCTCAGATGCTCCTCATCACTTGCTGGCCTGCATCTGTGTATTCAGCTTGTGCTCTTTTTCGGCTGATGTTGATTGCTGTCTTAGTATGCAATAAAAAATATCTTGCAAATGGTTTTGGTTATTTCGTGATTGATACTTTGAATTAAATTTAATCAGTTTTGGCTGGTATATAGGCATCCTATGCGGATCGCCTCGAAATAACCAACATAACACAAGTTCACACAAAATAGACAGAATTTGGCTTGCAATAGAATCCAGGACTGATCAATTTTCGAAATATCAAACACGGGATAATCTAAACCATTTCATGTAGAGTTCAATCTCATACCCCCGACCGAAGCTGCTATTTTGACGTGCCATATTGGCCGGACCATATGTTCCTGAAGGTTCTACCATGCCAGGCAAGTAGATTGGAGAACGATGAGACTAAAAACAGCTACTCAAGGTCTGAGGGCAAAGTCGTACTGCTGACTGCAGAGAGGTGTGACAGCAGTAAAGTGTTTCCCTTGGACAACCAGTATCCGCAGCGATGCTGCCTTCTAACAAGGAAGGAAGAGGTTAGAAAAGGTCGACCCTAAAATTGTCACACATCACCCTATCTCACGGATTTCCGTCTCCGACGGTAAGGGTGCCCAATAAACGTTTTGAAGAGCGGAGCTAATACTCAGAACAAATCTTATAAAAAGGTCGTGCGTGACCGGCCTTCAAGCAGTTGTCCCTTGAACTCTGCGGTCACACTCCCAGCTCGTTAAGACCAACACTAATCTACCTTCTTTTTCAGGTTCCTCTAGAAACACCCTTCCATGGTGTGGGCAGCTAGGAAGTGACAACCGCCCTCATACCAGTAACAGCACACGAGATCGAATTGTTCAAAATCAAATCCTTCCTACACCCCTATTATTTCTCTTATCTCCACGACTAACTTCTTCTCACTGAGCAGCAGTTCGCACCGTCCTACTATACGGATGCGAAACATGGCCGTTAAGAGTAGAGGACTTCCGTAGGTTACTAGTCTTCTATCATAGGTGTATCCGAAGCATTACTCGTGTATCCTAGGTCGACCGAGTAAGTACTAGGTAAGGATGACAAATCAATAAATGAAGTGGTGAAACTTCATCAGTTGAGGTGGTTGGGACATGTGTTACGTATGCCTAACCACCGACCGCCTCGTCCAGCTATGTTTTGCGAAAGTTAGGGGAGGCCAAACCAAAACATGGCACAAATCCATCAAGTCAATGACAAGTGGACTGAGTCATGTTGGTAGATGTAGGCTATCTGGTTGTGATCCGCGAGATGATAATAATCGATGGGTAGAGACCTTGAACAACATGGCTCAGAATCGTTTGCAATGGAGCAGGTGCATCCACTCTTTGTGTGCTCTTTAATTCTAACCTTCTGAATCCCTCATAATCTCTATCTTTCTCCTTCTAAATTAATCTCACTGAATTATACTTTTCGAATCATATCTTCGCTCCCTAATCTTCTCCATTTCTGCTAATAATTGTACTATCGCTATCACTGTTGGATTTGAACTGACAGTTACGTCTGTGTGCTGACGTGGTATGGCAACCTGAACTGATGTACTTATGTACGAAGTTCTGCGTTGTATCTGTCTGTCGATCTCATGCCTGTTGCATATGCAAGTAGGTATTTGGACTCAAGAGCTAGGTGGTGAACGCGATGACATTCGAAGCAAACGGTACTGGGACCGAGTTTCGGGGGAAACATCGATTCTGAGATGTAGATGAACCCAACCTACGAGAACCTTTCATAGTTGAATGTGAATGATACTATTGACTTACTTACTCATCAATTAACTGACTATTAACTCATTGCAAAAAATTATTTTCATCAATTTTACAATCGAAGTCCAAACTTTTGTTTATGTACTCACATCAGTTATTCATACTCATCAAAATTAGAGTGAATTTAGATAATAATAATAATAATAACAATAATAATAAAAATAATGATAATAAACAGTTAGATGAATATTTTTATACATGAACTTAAAATTTAAAGCTTGTATATACATTTCGAAAGTTTTATCAAAATTTAAGGACTATTTAACAATTTACATAATTAGAGTTATAAAACAACAAGATATATTTAACATAAAGAATATTGTAATAAATTTTGTATTTCAGCTAAATTTATTCGGTTCAGTAATCAACTATAAACGAGTATAATATTTTCTAGCTTCCTAGTTTTACTATTAATCACTGATATTTTTAAGAAGCATGAAATGAACACCCTACCGATTATACATTGAAATAATGAACCAATAAATGTTAGACCACTAGTGAAACTCAACAATTTCTATAACCGTATAATCATAATTATCATGCGTTCACAAGTGATTAATCTCGTGAAGTAATTTTCGAAATTCTAATAAGAAGCTGTGACCAACTGAGTTCACCTGTGTGGGGTGTAAGGCAGCTAACCACCAAAGACAATGGATGAGGTCACGCAATGCCGTGGACTGATTGTAGCTTGGTATTATACAATTGGATTTCAGCTTGATGGTCTATAGATTAAGCCTTCGCGTGTGAGACCAGTCTTTAGTTCAATTCCTGCTTGTGGAGTCGTGTATTACTTACTGCTGATTGACGTACTAGTGTGGTGTGCACTACTTACCGATACCGTTATTTATTTATGATTATTATTCTTAGTGATAGAAAGTGTTAGTAATCGTAGTGATGGTTGACATAGACAATCAGGCTAGAATGAATGACCAAAACATTGATAATAATATTAATAATAGTTATATAATATCTATTATACAATGAATATGAAATATAATCTTCACACCAATGCTATCAGATTATGTGAAATGATAAAATCCAAAAACTCAAAGATTAAGTAATCCGATAAAATGTGTACAAGTGATATCTTACAAACTATGTTAAGAGTTTATTTTTTTTTTAAAATGCCTAACAGCAATAAAATGTCAGTTTAAACTGTGACATGAGTTCAAATCTTTCGGTCAGTATTAATTCGTTTTTTGTAAACTGTGAGTGTACCATTTTATTGATTCGATTATCGATCTGCATGAAATCTATGGAATCATCAACGCTGTGCTGTTCTAATTGGCTTACGATAGCTTAAAACAATGTACACATGTGTCAGATTCTTAGTTGCGTTTGATCGACTGAAAAAATCGATACCAATCTGATGTATTGACTAAAACATATACTTGATGTCGTAGCTAAAATTAAATATTATAAATATGGCTTCCTTATTTAAGTTAAAAACTACACGGTTCGCTGTAGTAACCATTTATTGATATCATACATATATGCTAAAAATTAGAATACATATTGTCGAAAAAAAGTCATAGGTTTTACAATTTTTTGGAAACTATGAGATTGATTTGTTGAAAAGAAACACATGGACACTATTTAGTATCAAAAAGTTTCAGTCAGTTGAGGTGAGACATTTTGGAAAGCATTATAAGTACACTGAATAGAAATAGATTGATTGAATAAAAAGCTCTTTGTGCAGTAAATAAATTGAAAGCATGAAGAAAAAAAATTTTTATTTTTTATTAGGTTTAAAATAATAACAATTGAAAATGATACATGTTTAATATGAATTAAACAGGTGGTTAAAAAGCTTAATTATGAAATAAGTATTCAATTAAGTCAACAAATATATCATATTACGACGATGAGCTGGCAATCAATAGTGCTAATGACTAACTTCAACAAATCCATCCATATCACCTTGTTCAATGTATTGTTTTCCTTATTGACACTCTGTTATTTATCAATATTTACAACGAAACTTAAACAATCTCTTTTAAATAACTAATGTCCTATATTTTTCAAATTCCTCTTCTATTCTACTGAGAAAAAAAAGTTTATTCTTCATATTTAAAATGTTAGTCTTTATCACAAATACATATAATCACAGTAAGAATAATTTGTAAAAAATCGATAGAATAAATCAGTATGTAATATTTTTTCTGCGACATGATCTTTAAATTCACCACATGAACACACTAGTCAACACACACAAATTTACGTTGAATTTCTGAAATAGAAACCTTAAAATACACTTCAGTGAGAAATTATTGATAATTTAAAAAATTTGTACTAATCCTTTACTGATATAACAAAAGTGATGAATAATATGTAATGCTAGTAGTAAAAGACGTGAAAAATTTCTATTCAATTGTATGATCATTTTCCAAGGAGTTACTTGAAATATGGTAGAAAATATTTGATTAAATATTGGTAGTAGATAAGTAAGCATAGAGAGGTGAATACTAAGTAAAAATATATGAGATGATAAGTATAAATCAAAGACATTATTTAAAAATAACAAGGTAGTTGTAAAATGCTTGAGTCTAATGAACAAATAAATTAGTGAAAGTATACACCAGATTGATGTCCAACATAATGCAAATGATTATGTAAATGTCTCTTTAAAAAACAGGATGAAGGAGGAATTCAAAAAAACCGGGCATTCTACTAAGAGACCAAATATACGAAATTCACTCCATTTACTAAAGTCTAGAAAGATAAATATTCTCACACAACCCATATGCCAAAAAGATGAGGGGCTTCCGCTTTGCAAGAATTCTACATTTTCTATGCAGTCAGTCGGTCAATTACAACATCGAACTTCGTATGTAAGCACGTCAGATCACACTGTCATACCATAATACAAAACACAGAGGTGCTATTGTCCACTGGAATCAAATACACGTGGAGGTAGCAGTATCAGCGTAATCAGAAAGACTAGTAATCAAGTAAATGATTAATGAAGCATATCTCAGTGAGAGTAATTTGAACAACAACAAAAAACGGTCATGATGAATTTAGAAGATTAGGAATTCAAAGGACCCAAAAAGTGTATGCACCTGCGCGATCGCAGACGATTTTCAAAATTGTCGATCAGACTCTATAACATCGAGTTTACGTTATGATTCAGACGCAGACCAGAAAGATGAACTCCAAAAACGTGCATCAGGAAAATTTACCACTGACTACGTGCATTTGTAACACGTTTCGCCGCCCCTCGCGTTCTTCAAGCCTGCCCTAACACTGAAAAGCTTAGTGAGCACCATATATCGCTCTGCCTGTACCTTGCTTTTCTACTACCCTACTCCTAAAATACAAAACGTCACTTGTTGAGGCAGTCCTAACTGACTCAACCAATGAAACCAAACTGCTACCTTGATCGAGTTAGCATCCCTACCTAGTACTCCATTGTCCAAAGCTACAAGAGCAATCCTTTCGAGACACCTATGATCGAAGACAAGAAACCCTACGAATGTCCTCTACCCTCACTAGTCATGTTTCACAGCCATAAAGTAAGACGGAGCGAACTTCTGCTCAGTACACTCGTACTTTAGTCAGCAAACGGATATCTCGCCTGTAGCATAAGTGACGCAAGTTGGCCAAAGCCAGTCGAGCCTTCTGTATCCATGGCGAGATTTCGTCAGTCACCAGACCATCAGCACTGATGAGACTCCCCAGATAAGTGAAGCAATCTACACACTCAACTACTCCACTCCCTATGACTAGTTTAGATGCCGACGCAACCCAATGTTGAAGCAACATTTTGCATCTCTAGGGGGAAAACCGCATCTCGAACATGCTTGTATTGTTGCTCAGGGTAGTCAGTGTCAGTGTCTTCACCGAATAGAATTATTTCATTGGCATAATCTAAGTCGATAAGCGAGCCTCGCGGTAGAAGGTCTACTCCTGAAAATTCAGATGAAGATAATATTATATCTAGCAGCATGTCTATGACAAAATTGAACAAGAATGGGGAAAGTGAACATCCCTGACGGACACCACTCGAAGTAATGAATTCTGATGACAGTTCGCCATAAGCTCTAACACGACCTGTAGTTTTTGAGTGGGGAGCTTGTATAAGATTAATGTACTTCTTCAGTACACTTGTTAATGACAGACACTACCACAGAACCTCACGATCTACAGAGTTAAATGTCGCCTCAATCGAGAAATACAACAATAGTAGGACGACATAATGTCCCAGGAACTGACAAAGAGTTAGTATATGGTCTATATGTCCACGTTCAGGTCTGAAACCAGCCTGGTTTTCTCTAGTCTGAAGTTTACGAGTCCTAGTTTGGCGTCGGAGTATCATTGAAGCCAGTAGCCTCGACATTAAATTAGTCAAACTGATTCCTCTGTGGTTGTGACAATAGGACTTTTGTTCCTTCTTATAGACTGGGACAATCAGTGATTGAGACTAGTCGGATGCGATAAGTCCAGTTCCCGAATTCTACCCAAGAAAGCAGTCAATCTAACTGCTAAAACTGGACCACCATCCTTAAAAATCTCCTGGGTAGGCCTGTTGGAGCCTGCTTCTCTTCCCCGCCTTAGATTTCTTACAGCTTTTTGAACCTCATTAGGAGTCGGAGGACCTAGATCAATTCTTTATTCTGGTTGACTGGCAATCGTGCGTAACCGAGGAGCGGCTGAAGGCCAGTTGAATTGATCCCTGAAGTGTCCTGCCCATCGATTTAATCTCCTGGGTTAAGAATGAATAATAAGTCCATCCTTTTCCGACAGAGTCTCACTAACAGTCGGATTTCAATACCGGTTTGCTTGATAAGTCTGAATAACTGTCTACTGTTACCTATCGCCGCTGCCTTTTCTGTTGCTCTTGCTTTCGCTACCCCCTATCACTGTTCTCAATCATTGCGTAGGCTTTCCATCAGACTGCGCTCTTCATAATGTTTAGAGCTAGGCAGAATAGGTTTCGGAGCATCTATCAGTTTGGTAGATGCTACTGAGATTCACGGCTTCTCCTTAACCTTATGTTTTGCCTTACTAGCATATATCATTGCTGTTTCCACAGCTTTTTGGACATCATCCCAAGCTGTCTCGGGATAGGGATCACTTACATAATCGCCTAACTGTTTTTCTAGATGCTCCTGAAATATATTCTTAGCCATGCTATCATTAAGTAGAACGAGAGGCCGCGGGAAGCAGGAGCAGGGTGTCCAGATACACGAAGAGTAAATCTAGCTGCTTCTTTATTTTGACATGGTCAGGTCAAATGAATGACGCTTCTTGGATCTTGTATGCGCGTTTCGGAGACGCAGCATACATCGATGGCGCGAGATTCTAAAGTCCTAGCTGAGGAAGCCTTTTGTCCTATTTGACACAATGTTCGGACATGTAGTTTAGAATGAGGTTTCAGGAGACCAGGAATAGCGTTTCGTGAACTCGAATCGTTTGCATTAGTGGTGCAGGGTTGTAAAGGGATATGAGAGGGGTAAGTCGTGGAGAGAGATGTTATAGTGGTGTTAGAGGGTGTAGGAAGGATTTGATTGTGACCAATTCGGTCTCGTGTGCTGTTACGAGTATAAGAGCGGATGTCACTTCCCGGCTGCCCACGCCGTGGAAGGGTGTTTCTTGAGGAACATGAAAAGGAAGGTAGATTAGCGTTGGCCTTAGAGACCTGGAAGCGTGACCACAGAGCTCAAGGGAGAACTGCTTGACGTCGGTCAAACACGACCTTTTTATGAGAAGTTTGTAAAATGTTAATTCCACTCTCTAAGTGGCCTTACCGCCGGAGACAGGAATCCGTGAGGTAAGGTGTGACATTTTTAGGACCGACCTTTTCTAACCTCTTCCTTCCTTGTTAGAAGGCAGCATCGCTGCGGATACTGGTTGTCCAAGGGAAACACTTTACTGCAGCCACACCATTCTACAGTCAGAAGAACGACTTCGCCCTCAGACTTTGAGTAGATGTTTTTAGTCTCACTGTTCTCCAACCGACCTACCTGGCATGGTCAAACCTATAGGAACATATGATCCGGCCAATATAGCTCAGTTAGATCATCACGATAGGTAAGGCCGACCGCCAAGGTAGCAGCTACGGTCGGGTTTCTATGCAGTAAAATTATCTGTCAATCATCTGCAAAATTAAACTGGATTTGAAAAGAAAAATTGCTCAGAGAACATTTTTCTATTCAAGATTTACCGACTACCAAATTATCATTATTAATTATTCAGGTATAGTAGTTCAAATGGGTCGTATATATTAATGCACTCGTTTTTCGACCCATAGATTGTAGGTGTAAACCTGGACTCATCTACTTCGATGTGGAAAATCTTGGTAAGATTATTACTTACGTCTAAGATCACAATAATAATTTACAGCCAAGCACGTACATTGATCTACGGATTTGTTTTGTGACATAAACTTGTAACAAACTAAGTTATTCTCATGTACGATTGTGAGTGAAATGCCTTTTACTTAGAGAAACAGGATTGTACAACATTGATTTTTATCATGTGTATTACCGTCAAACAAATTTAAGCTGATGAAATATAGAAAAACGATTCATGCTTTGATTAGACACTGTTACACATTTACATTATAAATATTGAACCGAAAAATTCTTATTTTCTCACTTTTAACTTGGTTATTGAATAAGTAATAAACTTCTTTCTATGTTAGGGATTTCTTTAATTCAATGATTAATAAACTTTCTAAATTATCATATGATTTGACGTGTTTTCAATGATTATAACTGGCTTAATAAAAATGTAAACCGATAATGTTGAATTTGAGTATCTTAATAATTCATTTTCTACAACTTACTTTGCTGAGAATAATTTCAGGGGCTAAATATTCCGGTGTACCGCATAGAGTCCATGTTCTACCTTTTACACGTTTAGCAAAACCAAAATCTGTTATCTGCAAATTTTTTTTGATAAAGAAAAAAAAAGGATTAGATTCAAAATAGAAACTACAAAAAGAACATGCTAGATTTTATTCATTGATAGTTCAAGTTAAACATTATAAGTGTGTTTATTGTCGTTTCCATTTAAATGTTGAAGGAATAGCCAAGTGATAAGTTATTCAGTATTCACAACTAAATAGGCCAAAGGTTTAAGTTGTGCTTAAACCAGTTTGGGCAGCCGGGTATTATCAATAGCTCTTACAGATACAGCATAGCTTAAAGCTGAGTACATATAATGCGCATTGGTTGTTGGTAAATGCGTAATATTGTAATGAAATGCTAAAAACATATTTTCATAACTCTGAATATTTCTCTTGAACTAAATCATATCTTTCTTTAAGGTTGGTGAAACGTCACCATATTCGGGGTGTTGTTTTCATTATTTGCTCTATGGTTTTAGTGTCTAGATCAACTCTTAGATGATTTATTAACAAATAACTATGCATTTTTTTTCATCCCAATAATGCAATATTATTCACAAATTTGCACCAAGAACTAGATGTGCAATGTTGGGCTAGTGGATACACTAATGAATACAGAATAGCTGTGAAACAACACAATATGTTATGATTCACATCAATTCTTTGACACAACAACGAGCACAAAGAAACCCTAACAATGTTGAACAATGTCTAGAACCATGACATTTAGGTCAATCTCCAATCAATAAACATATCAAAATGAAATCAACCAATCAATTAATCCATAAGAAAAAAATCACATGGTCGAAAGTCGATTGCAAACAACGATTAACAAAAATTCATATCAGAACATTAAAACTTGGGATAAATACCGATTGTAAATAAAACAATCAGAATGAGCTGGCTTAGTGGTTATGTCGAAATTATTTTAAAATGCACACATGTAGTTAGGATAAACAATAGTGAAAACGTTATAATTAGACTGTTTGCGTTCAGGGAACAAAATATTAATATAATTTTTTTCTATTAGTTCAATCTTAGACACTTATATAGAAATGTATGATGTGTACTTCTTCATTCAATGTTTATTAATGCTTTCAGAAATCAAAACGTCACGACAGTTTAGATGTTACTTATACCATATGAATTAATTTTGTTTTAAGATATATAAACTATTGAATGACAGACTTAGCATAGCCTATAGCAAAATATTTTATATTAGTTATCATGTCCAAGTAATTTTTATAAAAAGTTATTATGAATAAATACTCGATAAGAAACTCTAATGGACCAAAGATTTGTGCAAACTCCAACTCATTAACAAGGTGCACTTATAATATTCACAGAACTGATGATCTTTGGAGAATTTGAACCCAAGTGATTATCACTATGCTATTTGATTGTTAATAACAAAACATAGAAACTGTTTTTCGTTCGAAACAACAACTATCATTTTTTGTCAGGGTATAATTAGGTTAACTTCTAAGTACGACATATGCGTGTAAATATTACAGTTAAAATATTTTGCAATATATATTATGAATCCTTACGAATAAGCAGTCCGACACCATAAACAGTAATAAGTGTAGATTAATAAAAACTAACTTCAAGTGATTCACGATATTACTCTACCATCTTTGATTGCGTAAAGTGAATAACTGTCTCACATCTGACATGGCTAAACTCTATTCAATACGGCTTCGGTCACTTCATGAATTGAAAACTGCCAAAAATTCTATAATCCTCACAAACCTAATGCTAATAATGGTCATGCGCTTAGTGGTGATGATCTAGCAAAGATATCATGCTAGTGGAGGTCTACTGGTGTCGGATGTAAGATAGTTATCCACCTCGGACAATAGAAGAAGATTCAACAAAAGTCTGAATTAACTGAAGCTAGCCAATAATAACGCGGTCTTGAAGTAAGGCGTGAGCGTTCGAGACTGAAAGTTATAGTTTCCATCACTGGTAGCTAGATCATGGATATACAATGGTGGGTAGTCTTTTGCTAGGACAATACGAAAGTCCGGTGATCCCAGATTTGCAATAGTAGTCGAAGATCATTTTTTGACTTAAAAACTATAAGAAGGTGATTCACAACTTAATAGTACCTAGACGTGGCGGTCGACCTTACCTATCGTGATGATCTAACTGAGCTATATTGGCCGGATCATATGTTCCTATAGGTTTGACCATGCCAGGTAGGTCGGTTGGAGAACAGTGAGACTAAAAACATCTACTCAAGGTCTGAGGGCGAAGTCGTTCTTCTGACTGTAGAATGGTGTGGCTGCAGTAAAGTGTTTCCCTTGGACAACCAGTATCCGCAGCGATGCTGCCTTCTAACAAGGAAGGAAGAGGTTAGAAAAGGTCGGTCCTAAAAATGTCACACCTTACCTCACGGATTCCTGTCTCCGGCGGTAAGGCCACTTAGAGAGTGGAATTAACATTTTACAAACTTCTCATAAAAAGGTCGTGTTTGACCGACGTCAAGCAGTTCTCCCTTGAGCTCTGTGGTCACGCTTCCAGGTCTCTAAGGCCAACGCTAATCTACCTTCCTTTTCATGTTCCTCAAGAAACACCCTTCCACGGCGTGGGCAGCCGGGAAGTGACATCCGCTCTTATACTCGTAACAGCACACGAGACCGAATTGGTCACAATCAAATCCTTCCTACACCCTCTAACACCACTATAACATCTCTCTCCACGACTTACCCCTCTCATATCCCTTTACAACCCTGCACCACTAATGCAAACGATTCGAGTTCACGAAACGCTATTCCTGGTCTCCTGAAACCTCATTCTAAACTACATGTCCGAACATTGTGTCAAATAGGACAAAAGGCTTCCTCAGCTAGGACTTTAGAATCTCGCGCCATCGATGTATGCTGCGTCTCCGAAACGCGCATACAAGATCCAAGAAGCGTCATTCATTTGACCTGACCATGTCAAAATAAAGAAGCAGCTAGATTTACTCTTCGTGTATCTGGACACCCTGCTCCTGCTTCCCGCGGCCTCTCGTTCTACTTAATGATAGCATGGCTAAGAATATATTTCAGGAGCATCTAGAAAAACAGTTAGGCGATTATGTAAGTGATCCCTATCCCGAGACAGCTTGGGATGATGTCCAAAAAGCTGTGGAAACAGCAATGATATATGCTAGTAAGGCAAAACATAAGGTTAAGGAGAAGCCGTGAATCTCAGTAGCATCTACCAAACTGATAGATGCTCCGAAACCTATTCTGCCTAGCTCTAAACATTATGAAGAGCGCAGTCTGATGGAAAGCCTACGCAATGATTGAGAACAGTGATAGGGGGTAGCGAAAGCAAGAGCAACAGAAAAGGCAGCGGCGATAGGTAACAGTAGACAGTTATTCAGACTTATCAAGCAAACCGGTATTGAAATCCGACTGTTAGTGAGACTCTGTCGGAAAAGGATGGACTTATTATTCATTCTTAACCCAGGAGATTAAATCGATGGGCAGGACACTTCAGGGATCAATTCAACTGGCCTTCAGCCGCTCCTCGGTTACGCACGATTGCCAGTCAACCAGAATAAAGAATTGATCTAGGTCCTCCGACTCCTAATGAGGTTCAAAAAGCTGTAAGAAATCTAAGGCGGGGAAGAGAAGCAGGCTCCAACAGGCCTACCCAGGAGATTTTTAAGGATGGTGGTCCAGTTTTAGCAGTTAGATTGACTGCTTTCTTGGGTAGAATTCGGGAACTGGACTTATCGCATCCGACTAGTCTCAATCACTGATTGTCCCAGTCTATAAGAAGGAACAAAAGTCCTATTGTCACAACCACAGAGGAATCAGTTTGACTAATTTAATGTCGAGGCTACTGGCTTCAATGATACTCCGACGCCAAACTAGGACTCGTAAACTTCAGACTAGAGAAAACCAGGCTGGTTTCAGACCTGAACGTGGACATATAGACCATATACTAACTCTTTGTCAGTTCCTGGGACATTATGTCGTCCTACTATTGTTGTATTTCTCGATTGAGGCGACATTTAACTCTGTAGATCGTGAGGTTCTGTGGTAGTGTCTGTCATTAACAAGTGTACTGAAGAAGTACATTAATCTTATACAAGCTCCCCACTCAAAAACTACAGGTCGTGTTAGAGCTTATGGCGAACTGTCATCAGAATTCATTACTTCGAGTGGTGTCCGTCAGGGATGTTCACTTTCCCCATTCTTGTTCAATTTTGTCATAGACATGCTGCTAGATATAATATTATCTTCATCTGAATTTTCAGGAGTAGACCTTCTACCGCGAGGCTCGCTTATCGACTTAGATTATGCCAATGAAATAATTCTATTCGGTGAAGACACTGACACTGACTACCCTGAGCAACAATACAAGCATGTTCGAGATGCGGTTTTCCCCCTAGAGATGCAAAATGTTGCTTCAACATTGGGTTGCGTCGGCATCTAAACTAGTCATAGGGAGTGGAGTAGTTGAGTGTGTAGATTGCTTCACTTATCTGGGGAGTCTCATCAGTGCTGATGGTCTGGTGACTGACGAAATCTCGCCATGGATACAGAAGGCTCGACTGGCTTTGGCCAACTTGCGTCACTTATGCTACAGGCGAGATATCCGTTTGCTGACTAAAGTACGAGTGTACTGAGCAGAAGTTCGCTCCGTCTTACTTTATGGCTGTGAAACATGACTAGTGAGGGTAGAGGACATTCGTAGGGTTTCTTGTCTTCGATCATAGGTGTCTCGAAAGGATTGCTCTTGTAGCTTTGGACAATGGAGTACTAGGTAGGGATGCTAACTCGATCAAGGTAGCAGTTTGGTTTCATTGGTTGAGTCAGTTAGGACTGCCTCAACAAGTGACGTTTTGTATTTTAGGAGTAGGGTAGTAGAAAAGCAAGGTACAGGCAGAGCGATATATGGTGCTCACTAAGCTTTTCAGTGTTAGGGCAGGCTTGAAGAACGCGAGGGGCGGCGAAACTAAAACATGTCAGAAATACATGAAATCACTAACAAGTAGGCTTCCTAGTCGGTGTGCGCGAAACGAAAGTCAT